CCGGTCCCGGGCCGGTGGGGGGGGGACACTGAGGGTTGCGTTCCGTTGCGGGACACGGAAAAAAACAAAAAAAAAAAAAAAAAAAAAGGTGCATCCACAAATGTTCCAGGGTCTATGGTTGTTTGACATTAGGGTTTCACAGAAATTCTGCTGTTGCTCTCCTGTGGCCAACCAAGACCACTACCAGACTGAATAAATATTTTTAGGATTCCCATAGCATTTCCAAATTGTTCATCTCAAGGCCACTGCTAAACAAACAAACAAACAAAAAAAGTGGGGAGATGAGAGACTGAAATCCTGTGGTGCAGGAATGTAATTTTTATGACCCAGGTAGAGTTTCTGAGAAGTAGAGACATCTTTCACTGCTCACCAGTCTTTGCTGCTTCTGCAGCAAGAGCTCCCCTTTCATGAGATGAAGAGAGATGGTCGAGTTATCATAGGGTTGCTAAATTTCTACTTTTCCAAAAAGGGAGAGATTCTTATTTTTATATGGAACCATTTATGTTAAATGTTATGGAGTTATAATTGGCATGTAACAGACTGAACATATTTAAAATGTATAGCTTGGTAATACACTTGGTTTACACTTTAACATGTGTAAACATATGAGACTACACTTGGTTTACACTTTAACATGTGTAAACATATGAGAGTATCATCATAATCATGATAATAAACATCCATCATTCCCATATTTATCTTGTGGCCTCTCCCTAAACCCAAAGGCAGCCAATGATTTACTTTCACACTTGATTAGTTTGCATTTTATGTAATCAGATTAAAGTGTTCACTTATATTTGGTTTCTTTCATGATTCATAATTACTTTGAAAGTCACCCAGGTTGCACGTGTGAATAGTTCATTCTTTTTATTCTTGAATATTTGGTTGTATGGATATGCTGCTATTTATCCATTCATCTATTAATGGATGAATGAGGGTTTTTGGTTTGTTTCCAGTTTTCGCTATCACACATAAACTTGCTATGAACATATACATACATTTCTTTATATAAAAATATGTTTTGTATCTTTTATGTTAATACTTAGGAGTGAAATACCTGAGTCACAAGGTCGGTGAATGTTTATAGCTTTTTGAGAAGTGGCCAAATATTTCTGAAGTGGGTGCACCCTTTTGCATTCCCCCTAATAGTTTAGGAGAGTTCCTGTTCTTCCATATTCTCACCAATACTCAGTATGGTCAGTCTTTTTAGTATTACTGTTTAAAAATTTGAAGTGGTATTTCACTGTGGTTTAATTGCATTTCCCTAATGTTTTATGATGTTGAACATTCTTAACATGTTTATTTACCACCTGTATGTATTATCTTCTTTGATGAAATGTTTGTTCATAATGCTTGCCTATTTTTTTGTAATGAATGTTAGCTTATATCTCTCTTTTTCTTAATAACTAAGGAGACAGTGAAAAGAAGTATGTTGGAACTTTACTCATTCTTCAATGAGTTTGCTGAGTGGAATAATCATTTTTGAATACTGGAAGAATATTTTCTCAGTTGTGCTGTTCACAATGTAATGGCCACATACACCATACACACTTTAAATTTTAACCTGCACTAAGATCCTCTCAAGAAGAAATAAGGAGAAAAACAAGACAAAGACAAAAAAAGATACTCTCCATCACTTGAAGTCTAGACAATTAATAAAACAACACTTATTTGTAGTGTTTGCCAATATCCGTGGTGTAAATACTCCCACTGTGGCCAATTTCAGGCTGCTAATGTGAGGTCATTGACTGGATTTGGGAAGAGATGTGGCAGTATCACATCATTATATCCTGTTGCCGTGGTACAGACACAGTAGCCATATATAACCTTGAGAACATAGGTGATAATAAAATGTAGTGAAACCAGAAGGAACAAGTTTTGAATATTACTGTTCAGTAAAGGATTAAGTCAGCTGGCCTAAGTTGTCCAATGCATGCAGATTCCAAAGGAAGGTTTGTCCCTTGCCTGACTCCTGGCAGATAACCCCTAAGCCCTTGAAACATTCTGTCTGATAAGAAGAGTGTTTACCTGGGGTCTTGAGTAATGCCAGATAGTTTATGCTAATCATGTGATTTGTGGTGGGGGCCTTGGGCTTCTGGTATTAGTTTGACCTCTGGAGAGGCTATAGAAATCAAGTAACTAAGTTCAGGTGCTCATTGTGTACCTGATGCTCAAAAAAAAAACAACAAAAGAAAAACATGGACACCAAAGCTTAGGTGAATTTCCCTGATTGGCAATACTTCATGTGTGTTGTTATACATTGTTACTGGGAGACTTAAGCACTGTTTACATGACTCCACTGCAAGGGACAAGTGGAAGTTACACTTGGTCTCTGGACTCTGCCCTAGGCACCACTTTCCTTTGCTGATTTTAATGTGTGTCATTCTGATGTAATACACTGTAGCTGTTAACAATGGCTTTTCTGAGTTCTGAGTCCTTGAGACTTGTGAGTGGCCTTGGGGATTTCAGACCACAATTACGTTTGTTTTTTCAAAAGCTTTATTCATGTAAAACTGCACTTACTTAAAGTGCACTATTTGATAAGTTTTGACACGTTTACACTCCTGAAACCAAAACTTTTCTCATACCATTTGTAGTTCTTCCATCTTAACCTGTAAAACTATTGATGCAAGGAAACATTCTTTTTGTAATGGATATTTTCAAACATCTACAAAAATGAAAAGGACTGTGTTTGAAGACCCATGCACCCATCTCTGATCTTCCATCATTATTGGTAATTTCTTGGATGTTATTTTATCCATTCCCACCCATGTTACTGTGTTTTACATAGAAGTCTAGGTATGTCATTTAATGATTAAATAATTCAGAATGCATTTTTTAAATGTAAGCATTTCCCCCATAGTTTTGATAATTTGATCACACAAAATAAACATTTAATAATATAGAATATTTTATTAATTCCATTAATTTTGTGTAGCTGCTGTAACAAATCACCACAAACTTGGTAGCTAAAAACAACACATTTATTCTTTTTTTTTAAATTATTTTTTATTTTTTTAAATTTTGATTGAATCA